CGCTTTTAATCCTCCGCAAAATAGTCAACCATGTTTTTTGTATTTGACCTTATTAAGAAGTTCGAGATTTTTGTACGTTTCCTTAAAGTGAACCGAATGAGTAATAGGAACAGGTGCATATATGTTACTATTGTGAAGGAGAACACCTTTTAGACTTCTTTTGGAGAAACGAACAATCGCCATTCACTTGGTTCGTAGACTGCAGCTCCTAACATTGGTATTAATTCAGCAATATTGTTGCAATAAACCAATGAAGTTTCTTGCAAAAAGTATGGTATAAACTCTTTCTCACGATTTCTGTACCAGTAAAATGATGTTCTTGGAGAAAGTAAGTTCTTGGTCCGAAGTCTGGACCACAAAATCTCTGAAGAATCCTTTGGAAGGCCCAAATCTCTCAACAAATCATTAAGTTAATCTTGTGTTAAAAGTTATGGTTCACCAGACGTTTCAGGTTGAAAACAATTTCTATTATCATTTCTCTTGACATCAGATTCAGAATCAAATGAAACTGTATCAAGAGCTTCCGGTGGAGTAGGTACAGGTACATCAGGTCCATGAGCAATAGGTCTTATAGCAGATTGAAGTTTCCTTTTTATTTCGAGTGTTGTATCCTTGCACGTTACATGAGCAACATAGCAGGTTTTAGGCTTACGCCAGACCATTGTAATTTCAAAAGGCAAAGACTTTTGTCATACCTTTAATCCGTTGTCTCAGCTCTTCGACACAAACGGTGCAGACTTTGTGTGGAGCCCATGATTTGTTTTGGTCCCCAAGTTTTATTCCAAAATACGCGTAATACGCTATTTTGATTAATTCTGTAATGTTTGCCTTTGTTTCTATACAACAAATTTACCACAAATGTAATAGAATATGTTTGGGTCGTTTACACAACCTCATGTTGCCATAGCGACGAATAAATAATATTGAAAAGAAAAAAAATATTGTCAAAATGCACGCACAAACAAATACTATCCAGAAATGACATGTCATGCGGCCTGTTAACCGTTTGTATACTAAGCGGTGTGTTTCTCGTGGGTTCTAGAACGGTCGATAAGACTCGCGTTGCGATTGGGCTAGAGAAATCGTTAGCCAGTGGTTGTCAACATTTTATGCATAACAAAATGTGACTGATTTCAATGAAAATGATTCACTTGTGTAAAAGTACATATGACGTTTTGTGAAAAATTTGTACGTAATGGAAAAAATTGACATCATTTTCGGATTCAGCGTACAGGAATTACAGTAGAATATATACATGTATATAAAAAATCAAGACAATGAAACCATCGCGGGCCTTTGTAATAGGGTCTTACCACAATGAGTATAGGTTGTCTGATGTTACGTTTGATAGGTTGTTACTTGTCACAGCAGGTAGTCTTTAACATCTCCTTATAAATATGGAACAGTTTTTACGTTGTTTGTTCCTTTACGATATAAGTAAAATATAAAAGGTCGATAACGTTATCGTTTAATTGTGTGTATCGATTCTTTAATCATTTTTATTATCGAGTTTGAGGAACAAAATGATATGGCGGAACGATGCACAGTGGTAAAGATTTGTGTATTTCTTCCTTAATTGTGTATAAATAGTTTGGATAGTACGGTTTCCATTGCTTAATAGAGTATAAATACAAATTGAACAGTTTTCGACCTTCAGTTTCTGTCGATGTTATACGCGTATATTTAATGTACTTAAAGACCTTGCAGATTGACTGACTGGAAAGTCTGTACAAGCTCTTATAAAGGATACAAAAACACCATGATTTAAGCTGAGCATTCCGAAGTTATGAAATAACTGCATCTTTGAAATATCTAATTGTATAGAATTTAAGTTTAAAGTTACACGAAATATCAAACATTCTCCATGCGTGTTGTTAGGTTCGTTTCGTACAGATGGTTAGTTGAGGCCTGCCTGCTAAGAATGTAACCTATGTAAAAGCTAGTGTGTGTCACGTCACACGTGATTTCTCGAAATAAAAGGAGTCGTAAAAGCCAAAATGCATTTATCCGGATAGAGTAGTTTGGTTACTGTCTGACCGTTTTACGATTTTAGTGATGGGGGCAGTGAGGGAAGGGGTGCCATGTAACCTTATAAGTATAGTGAGTGTTGGTAATAAGCTTAAAGTAAGGACGTAGTGTGGGATCACCTAGTCGAGTTACGCCAGAAAGGAGTAAATACACTTGAGTAGACATTGTATACAACATATTAAAAGCTTATCAAAGTTTTTAAAAATGTCTAACGTTAGGTCGTAGAATACTATTATAAGATTATTTATTGATAGTATTAAGTGCGGTAAGGTTTAGCCCTAAATGAACTAAAGCAAAAAACGTACACAAGTTACAGTGTTAATTTATTTCTTTATCGAATATAGGCCGTACTTAATAAAGGCTTAACTAATGTTAGGCCTAAGACAAGTGGACTTACTGATTTCGATATCTGCGATTAGAATTCTTATGTATTCTAGAAATCCTGTATTTAAAAAAAATACTGTTGCAATAAGTATAGTAATTTGGCTGCAAATGTTTTGCGGGTCTCTCTCTGCTAGTTATTAATATCTGACAGATCGAATGACAGATTGAAGGGTGGATAAAAGACAGTGGTAGAGACGACTGAATTAATCTGAGTAAAATGTCAGAAACGGTAAATAAATTTCGATTGATGTTGTGATCCTACATGAATATGTATGTGTGTGTGTGTACTAAGACACTTGTAGTGCTAGTTATTTAGAAAATAAATTTGATGAAAATCGTTTTTACGAGAGGGAGAACAAACATTAAAAATTAAAACTGTATTATAAAATCGGCCCAAATATATAATGTATACGTGGACCCGATGAAAACGATGACAGTTTTTTCGGTACAATAATGTCGACCATTATTACATTAATCCGGAATCAGAAAAAATATATATATATTCTGTTAATTTTATCACTCTAAAGAAAAAAAACGGTAATCATTATTTTGATAGTTTTAGAAGTATTCAAATCCCATTGGTATTTAAAGTAAAATATTCCTTTGTACGACTGAAGTTGTTGTAATAAGCAAGTGAAACGATCCTGTTTTCATTTAAAGTATTAAATCACGCACGTATCAATTAGATTTTAAAATGTTAGCTTGGAAATTGATTCTGTATCAGTGTGTGATAGTAATCTAGAAACGTTTTTTACAGCACACGCAAATAAGAAACTTAACTTTAAATATCAAATAAATCACCGTATTTCAGTCAAAACTTGAACATGAGGTTTGTTATAATGACAACTGTAATGTGGCCAATATCTTTTGTAGCGTGCTTTTTATGACTTTCAAAACATTATAAATGCAAGATCGTTAGCACTAGCCACCAGCATTTAAAATTTATTGTGTAAAAAAAAATAATGACGATAATTAATCTTTTTAATGTTGTAGTTTAAATTGCACCATTTCCAAATTTAAATTTCCTTACCTTTCACGGCCCTGCGTGACTTGGTGGTTAGGGCGCTCGAATCGCAATCTGAGGGTCGCGGGTTCGATTCCCCATTATCGAACATGCTTGCCCTTTCGGTCGTGGTAGCTTCAATTCCACTATTTGTTGGTAAAAGAGTAGCCCAAAGGTTGGCGGAAAGTGGTGTTGACTTCTGCTTCTAAATTAGGGACAGATAGCTCTCGAGTAGCTTTGTGCAAAATCCAAAACAAACCAAACCAGTTTTATCACTGTCTAGTGATAATCGTTTGTTGTTGTTTTTTGTTGTTGTTTCTTGTAAATTATAATGTAAATTTTGCATTTATTATCGTGTTACACTTGGGTATTTTTGTTTGTTCTCTTGTATCAAACTATTATACATTTTAAATGTATCTGGCATACAATATTGGTAAAATCGTTTTTCAAGTAAGTTATTCAGAAGGGTCTAGGAGCAGTTTTTATACATAATTTTCGTAAAGCCTGTCAGTTGCTCTAGAGTAAAAGTGACAGAAAAATATATGAAATTGGTAAAAAAATATATAATATGCTTCTTAGACGATTGTCCCGCGACATAAGATTTCGTCGACAAAACAAATGAATAAAATATGATCCCAAATTAAGCTTCTAATTTTTGTCCCATTCCTTTTTTTTTTTTTTTTCATAAAATTTAATTTCATTAAAACTCATCTCTTCCCCCCCCCCACACACACACATGCACGCACAAATAATAATAATAATAAAAACTTATGTGCAACTGAAATGAGAAACTGGATATTTTGTCTGTACGTAACAACCTTTTCTATTAGGGCGAGTTTCTAAGATGATTTAAAGCTGGTTGGCTGATATCTATTTCTAGCGGCATTAGCCAGCGGTTAGCATATCGGATGATGGATATGAAATTTCATGGTTCGCGCTCCATTACCACCAAAAATAGCAGTAAAATTTCAAATTTGCAAATACATGGTTCATTACAGCATATATTTGACAATATTTTTTTTCTTTCGCTCTTGCGATGAAAGTCACTGATGAAATTACTTTTATGAACATTCTGTAATTTTGGAAACTAGAGAAACAAGCCTATGTTATGCTTATGAAATACTTATACCCCATTTTTACCTTTACCTTTGATCTATGACCTTCAAACTAATCATGCCTAGAACTTTGTGTGTATTTCCTGTTATATAAATTTGTACATCCATCTAATCTTGTAATATCCTGTCCACAAAGTCTGGATGAACGGACAGGAATAAATCAATATGCCTTCGCAGTGATGGAATAAAAATGTTTATTATTCTGAATAACAAAGTGTAACTTTCTAATCCTTTTATAAAATTATCGCCACATTAAATATGAAGTAGCATTAGAAATATATTAATTTAATAATATGCAGTATTTAATGATCTGTTATAAAACCTTTTTTTTCTTTATTATTAACAAATTTATATTACATAATTATTCTAATGAACGGTGTTCAGTGATATTCATGTTACGCATGTCACGAAATATAATAAACATTGAAATAACTGCATGAAGTTTAAATGTGCAACATTTTGTTTGACAGATGGCGCTACAGGACTACATAAACAACATTTGCCTATCGGAGTAACAGAAAAGGATCTTAATCTTTTCAGAAAAGCACAGCAAATTTCATTACAAGTAAGTTAGACATTTATGTCATGGAAAAATTTGAGTTATAAAAATAGCCTAAATGCAAGTGTGGGGAAATCTGAAGAATACTTATCATTGTAATTGGTGTTGACAGTCAATAGTTGTCAAAGTGATTAACCAAATCTTTTGAAAACGTCTACTCCTCCCGGAGATAATTGGAGAATTATATGTGTATTCTTGTGTTATAATAAATGACAAAGTAGAAGGCTTCAGCTTCTAAGAGGAGCTTGGGCTCTTGCATCTTGGGCTGTTGATTTGAAAGGTATAAAGTCAAGTTTTTTATCCTAATGACTTGACCCATAATATTATTTCATTCATTGATATAAGTTTTTTTTATTTCCTTATACTGAATAGTTTTTGAATGATACACACACAAACACACACTGAATTAGGAAATTTATAAATCTAATTATGTTTGACAGTTCTCAGTTTCGGAAAATTTTTTGAGGAAATAAGCTTGAAATGATTTGTATGATTTTATAAATGTTTGAATTCTATCAATTAAAGAAATATATTTGTTACTTTTCTGAGAATAGAGATACAAAGACTGATGCCTTATAAGGTGGTGAAAAGAAAACTGTGAAGCTTATTAGATTTTGGGTTATATTATTGAACTGATTAAATGATGGATATAAAAAAAATTGAAAACAATGTCATATTCTGTTAGCTATAAGTTAAAACTGATAAAACTTTCCATTTAAATACTCGCTTACTTAAGAATGTTTGTTCTAATGGTTCACATTTGTTAAAACAATAACAAAAGTGTGTGTGTGAAATCATGCTCTTATTTTGCTAGAATATTTTATAATTTACTTAAATGCAATGAGTGAAACCCTGTTTCTACTTGCCAGAACTTTGTACTGGCTTATTTTTAGCTGTGGCATACAGGCTCATAAAATGGCTGGTTGAGTTGTTTTTTTTGGTTTATTTTTCAACTACAAACTTTTACTTCATAGCTTCATCATCTCTTGATATGAGATCTAATTACAGTTTTGAACTTGGGAGGTTAAACCCTTTTGATTGACATATTTGACCATGCCAGAGGTCTCCTAGATTAATTTATTCTAAACCTGCCTAAAAGAATTTCAATTTGAGAGTAGACTGGTAAAGATCCTGATGAAGAATAAAATGGAATCAGGTGTATGTGTGCCCCCCCCCCTGCTTTGTATTGCTGGCACACAAAAATATAGCTAATAAAAAAGGGGGGGGGGTCTCATAGATTATTTTACTTTAATCCTGCCTTAAAGAATTTCAAGTGCTGCAGCTATTGGGGGATTCCCTCTTGTTTTAAATTCCACATGGAGTACCAATTTCCATCCTCTTCTTTTTTTTTCTTTATTAAGTCTTTTACAGATTTTTAAAAAGTTATATTTCTTGGCATTGCAGTTGGAATAGTACAATAAGAATTACTGTTAACTTGCAGAACATGGTCATGATAAATATATATCTGTATTTCTTTAAAGAGATTTGCACCACTGCCAAAATGTATTACACACATATATTAACGTGTTGTAAAAAGGTATTGTTTTATTAGTTGAATGTCTTGATAATATTCTAGGCTTTGGGACATGGAACATTACCTGTGGAAGCTCCTACCCGCTACCCAGTTTCTATTGAATTTGGTTGTTTTGACATTCAGACGTGGTATTCATCTCCTTTCCCACAAGAATATGCTAGGTAAAACTACATTTTTAAAGATCAAATTGGTTAATGTAGTTAAACAACTTTTACTGCCATTCCCTTCAGTACCAAACTTGTATTAACTCTAAAATAAATTGCATCTTGAAGCTCTTAATCTTTTAACTTTTTGTTATATATCTAAAAAATAATAATATTTTGAATGTTTTAATGTTTTCTGTAGATTTGTAACAAAAGTTATTAAAATGATTAATTAAATGGAGTTTAACATGCATGAAAAGGTTGTGTTTCTTGTTTTATACCATATTCCAAGAACATCTGATTAATCCAAAGGGAATTGTTTTTGAAATCCTATTTTAAGTTGATTGTTTTAGGAACGTTTGCTATTTAAATACTTTCTTTTCATTCTCAGTGTTTAGTTAATAACTGAAAGTTAATTTTTCAGATTATCTAAGCTTTTCATCTGTGAATTCTGCCTTAAGTACTTGAAAAGCAGAAACATTCTACAGAGACATAGGGTGAGTGAATTTTTATTTTATTTTTTTCAAAATCATGGTTGATTCAATTTATGTAAAACTGCAAGGTTGGAAAACAAATGACTAAACCTTTGAAGCTACAAATTCAGTGTGTTTTGTTAACTTTTTCTTTTTGGAAGCAAAAGCCTTATCCAGTTGTGTGAGACATCTGGAATAATTGTACTGCTGGAAAGTGTTAAAATTTTGTTTTTTGAGGTTTAAATAAGAAAGAGATGATAAAGATGAGAATAAGATGTATAAACAAAAAATTAAGGCTACTTTTATAGTTGCTATTTTGTATTTAACATTTAATTTCTTGAATTTTTTTTTCAAGACCACATTGAAACATAATTGGTGTTCTAGTATGATATATATAAAAACACAGGATATGTACAGTACTTAAAAGAAACCTTTTTTTAAATTTTTTGTCATTTGTGTTTGATATGTTTCACTCTAACTTTGTGAGGAAACTTACAATATTCTTTATTGTATATGTATTTTTCTTCATCAGTTCTTTTATTACACTTCAATTAGTGTCAAGACAGGGATTATTTCTCATACTGGAGAGAAATGGAAATGTGTGTGTGGTGTGTGCATGCATGCATACATACACATACATACACACACACACATATATATTAGAGGAAAAATAACAATTTATTAGATCAATGTAGAAAATTATTGTAAACTTGATATGAATCGCATCACTCTAGCGAAATGTGTGAAAAGTAAATTTTTGTGATGAATTTACAGTATTCTTGGTTAATGTTATGCAGAACAAGTTTGTATAATAATCATATCTGAGTGAAAAGCAGAGTTATGATCTAGTGTAATGTTGAGGAAAACTTCCTGTTATATGAAAAACAGATATTGTTTTTATGAATATTGTGATCTGTTTGTCGTAATAAGATAAGACCATAATATATCAGATAGTATCTTCAACATTGCTTGACTTAAGGAAAAAAAAACAATTTCCTTGCAGACTTCACTGGAAGCTAGTTTGTTCTTGTACAGCTGAAAAACATCTAGTTTTCACAATAAAACATTGGCTACCAAAAGGGTTGGAATCTCCAGTTTTTGTAGTATAAATCTGATCATCAGTGCCAGTAGTAACAGCACTTTGTTTTTCCAGTTTAACTTTTTTTTTAATATATAGTTTAGATTAATCACTAAGATTTATTTTAGATTGTATGAAAAAGTAATTAGAAAAGATATTTGAGCCATGAGTTTATATATTTATTTCCTATTAATTTAATACCTAAAGTTAAAGAGAAGGTATGACAATGAGTAAACTCACCTTTGTTTTCTTACTTAACAGAGGAAATGTTTGTGGACACATCCTCCTGCCACAGAAATCTATAGAAAAGATAATCTATCTGTCTTTGAAGTAGATGGTAATATCAACAGAATCTATTGTCAAAACCTCTGTCTACTTGCCAAACTCTTCTTGGATCATAAAACTCTATATTACGATGTTGAGCCATTTCTGTTTTATGTTCTGACAAAAAATGATGATAAAGGATGTCATTTTGTTGGATATTTCTCTAAGGTAATATTTGCTATATTTTTTTAGATCAGTGTAATAATGATTTGATTAAGTAATTTTCTTGATAGGTTATAGAGTATATATGATCTTGATGTTATTTTTTTCATTTAATTATAAATAAATCTTTTTTTAATGAAGTTTGGTTAACGTTTCTCATAGAAAGAATTATTAATTGAGGATTTTAAGTATTAATAATGATCTTGTATGAAAATGCTCTAACTTTTTTTTTCTGAACATGGTGATCCAGTTGTAGCTTTTTGAAATAATAATATATAAAAGCCCCATGTTCATGAGACAGTGTTCTTCTGATAGACTGTAGTTTGTTTTGTTTTTTCTGTCTTTTTCCCAGTTAATGAAAAGGGAACAACCTTTAACTATGATAACCTGAAAACAAAAAATATCTGTTAATTGTAGAAGTTTCATAAGTCCAGTATTTGTGTAGCCTCTGTTAGTGGTGTTCAGCATCAAAGTGTGCTTTTAGGGTATGAACTTACATATACAATGTTATTTCCACATACATATAATTTAAGTTTAAATTGGTGCACTATAACTTTACTATTAAAGAACTACAAAGTACAAGCTCGTCAAAATAATATTTAATTGCAAATTTGGCATGAAATAATTGTTGTTAACCCTATCACAACGAGTCATGTGTCAAAGGCCATGTCATTGCATTTGTTGACTTGCATTCAAAATTTTATTGAACAACTATTTTATGAATTTATGTCAATAAGTTTGGTATCAAACTGTAGATTATAATTCAAATTTTAGTATTATACATTACTTAATTTCAAAGTAAATATTAAAAAACATAAAAACATCAATTTTTGTGTGTCACGTGGTATGTTGAATGCAACACTGGTTCAGATTAGATGTGTGTGATGTCCAAATACTAAATCTGTAGTTTCTTAGGAGTTAGGAACTCAAATTACCGATATTGACAAGCTTATAATATAAAATAAGAACATCTTATATTTTTCTATTTGCTAAGATATCACTTGTACTGAATCAAACAAAGTGGCCTCCCACCTACCCCTTTCCATTTTTGGAAACATTACCTTATATACACTTACTTCTATATATGACATGAATCTTTGTTTCTGTTTATAAATTTCAGGAAAAACATTGTCAACAAAAGTATAATGTTTCGTGTATCATGACAATGCCACATTACCAAAGGATGGGTTATGGCCGATTTCTGATTGATTTCAGTAAGTTTCAGTACATTTTTTTGACACTTTGGGTGTTACTTGAATACATTATGATAGAATGTATAGAAATAAAACTGAATTATGTGAGTGAAATTTACTTGTTTCCAGTTCAAGAAAATAAAATAACCTATAGAAGTTAAAGACTTTACACAGGTTTAGTTATAAATTAGTTACCTTCAGCATAGAGGCAATTTTTAAGGGCTCTTCTTCTTCTTTTTTTTATATATATAATAAATTCGAGATGCTAAACTTCTTGAAATGGCATATATTTTACTCCTTACCAGAGTTGTAATTGGTTGACAACTATTTTGAATGCCTTGTTGTTTTACTTTTTAAATAGCAGAACTGTTATGATGATTGATTCCAACAAGTTTTGATATTACACTAACATACAGCACTTCCTCCTAAATGAAATAATAAATCCTTATTAGATGGTCCCTTTTTATTTATTTATATATAATAAAGAAAAATAAGAGATATCAGTTGATAAGTGTTTATTATATAGTATTTCTATGCAATATAAAACTACATACATACTTGAGGGACTGCATTAGACTTTGAAAGTTTTCATTATTGGTGTGAGCATTTATATGTAGTAATATTCACTTGAATGAAATAAGTTGTTGGAATCGTTATCTAATTTATAGGAAAAAATTAACAGCATCACTTTGGATGTGTCAAGATTTTTGTAAAAGAGTTAAAATTTTTGCTTGTAGTTTTTGAAGTTTTCTGAGAGCTTAAAAACTTTTATTTAAGGTTATTTATTAACAAGGAAAGAAGGACTTGTTGGAACGCCAGAGAAACCTCTATCAGACTTGGGTCAGTTGAGTTATGCCTCTTACTGGAAAAGTGTCACTTTAGAGTACATCTACAAAAACAAGGACAAACAAATTAAGATAGAGGGTAAGTAGATACCTTCATATTCTGTGCTGTTTTATTAAGCTTTCATTCATTTATTTCAAAATATGTATGAATTTAGCATGAATACTCGTTTAAAAATTTCATTCTTGAAGCTTGTATAGTACCTTAAAAACTGAAATTATTACACCATTCTGGTAAAGAAATAAAAAGCCTTGTTATTCGTACATTGGAAGGTTCAGTGTTGTAGCTAGGTTTTGTTTCTGAGACGAACATTTAGGATGTTATATAGAAAAAATATAATATTTTAATTTTTAAACTTGTAAACTTGGTTTAAAAAAATGATTGAAGTAACAAGGTTTATGTATGAAACATAGAACAATTAATAAAATTGTTTTACTAAAGTATTAATCTTAACCCTTTGGAGACGAGTCATGGGTGAAAGGCCATGTCATCTTGTTTATTGACTCGCATTCAAAATTTTTATTGAACTACTGTTTCATAAATTTATGTCAATAACTTAGGTATCAAACTGTAGATTATAATTCAAATTTTAGTACTATATATTACACAATTTCTTAATTTAAAAGCAATTATTAAAAAAATGCAGATAAACAGCGATTTTTGTGTGTCATATGGTATGTTTAATGCAGCACTGGTTCAAATTAGTATTTTGACTTCACAAACATCTAAGTCTATAGTTTCATACGAATTAGAAACTCAAATTACCAATATTGACAAGCTAGAATATAAAATAAGAGTCTCTATCTTTTCAGTTTGCCAAGATATTGCTCATATAATAAATCAAAAACAGTGGCACCCCACCCACCACTTTCCATTTTTCAAAATGCTTCCTTATATACACTTACTTCTATATATGACATGAATAACCAATCAGAAGCTCAGAGTGTCCCTCTAGTGGCTTTCTCAGCCATTTTAATGGGCTGGGTGCCATATCTTTCTTTTGAACCAATATTTCAATGAGGTAGGGTGTGTCTTTAGTCTGCTCGAAATTTCATATTTTTTAAACTAAAATACATCTTAGTTATTAAGCTTG